ATCCACCCCTCGCCCAGCCGGGGTTTGTGCTGGGGATTGCCCCGACCCACGGGCAGGACCTTGCCCTTGGCCTTGCTGAACTCCATGCGGTTTGTCCGTCCCACCTCTCCAGCCTGCCCAGGTCCCTCTGGATGGCACATCCCTGCCCTCAGCGTGTCACCGCCCCACACAGCTCGGGGTCGTCGGTGAACTTGCTGAGGAGGCCGATCCCACTGGCCATGGCCCCAACAAAGACGTTAACCCAACCCCGACCCCTGAGGAACGTCACGCGTCGCTGCTCTCCACTGGGACGTGGAGCTGTTGACCACAACTCTTGGGAGTGCGACCACCCAGCCAATTCCTGATCCACCGAGGGGTCCCTCCGTCAAATCCACGTCTCTCCAATTTAGAGACAAGGATGTGGGATAGTGTGAAACGCTTCGCACAAAGCCAGGTAGATGATGTTGCTCTTCCCTCACCCACCAGTGCTGTAACCCTGTCATCGAAGGCCACCGACTTCGTCAGGCAGGATTTGCCCTTAGTGAAGCCACGTTGGCTGTCACCAACCACCTCCTGATTTTCCACGTGCCCCAGCACTGTCCAGGAGGATCCACTCTATGATTTTACCAGGCACAGAGGTGAGGCTGGCTGGCCTGTGGTTCCCCAGGTCCTCTTCATTTCTCTTTTCAAGAACGGGGGTTACGTTTCCCCTTTTCCAGTCAGCAGGAACTTTGCTGGACTGCCACAACTTCTCAGATGTTACCACGTACTTGTCTTTAGCCCAGTGCATACACAAAGCAGTAATTATCAGAAAGAAGCTCACGCTGCTGACTGTTCCGCTTCTCCTTCTGGACCTTGGAAACTTCAGTGAAAACCAGAAGGGGTTTTTATCCTCTTGTTTCACCTTTTCGACTAATTAAACTTATGATCACTCCGAGGTTGGTCAGTGGCCTCCTGCAGTGGTCGGGGGGTGAGGGGATGGGAGTGGAGCCGGGGAGGGGGGGCGCTGGTGGGCAGAGCTGGGGTCAGCGCCGCAGCCTTTCCCAGCAAAGCCCGTTTCCTGGAAGCCAAACAGGACTCGTGTGCTGGGGTGTTTGGACGCTGTTATAAAGGTCAATATTTACCAGAAAGATCCCCTGCTGTCACATTATCTTCAAGCCCACGCGAGGAGAAACTTTGTTGTGCAAGAAATTCCAACTAACTTGGCACGAGGGGACCCAGGTCAGGGGGAGAACACGGACTACGGCAGCAGGAGGCCTGGGGAGAGGGCGAGCGCTGCTGATAAACCACCCGCAAACGGCCCCAGCACCCGGGACGGCGCCTGCCTGGGAAGGGTCCCGAGGCACCCAACACCCACACACCCACCGAGCCCCCTCCAGCTCCAAACCACCTTGGCAGAGCAAGATAAGACACGGGTGCTCATGGCACATCCTGGAAGAGCAAGTGGCCCCCGTGGCACCGAGCTGGGGGGCTGCTGGGTGGCACAAGGCATCACCTGCCTGTCCCAGGCCCTCGCTCCCCGCTGCGCGGGCCAATGGCTGGGGCAGCCTGGTAGCCCAGGGCTTGTCTGACCCAGGCTGGGCCACCCCCAGGTATTTAAGCATCCTCTCCTACTCCATTGAGCCGAGGTCTGTGTCCCCCACTGCAACCTGGCGTGGCACACGGGTGACAGACACCCATTGCGTTCCCTCCAAGGAGGGGCTGGATGTGGTTGACCCACACTCGGTGCTGGGAGGGCCACGGGGGCTCGGCAAGGCCACACTTCTCAGGAGGATGGGAAGGAGCCGGGTGGCTCCCCTCACCCCTGCACCACCTGCACCTGGGGGCATTTGGCCCCTTGGAGTCACAGAGGTGGGACCTGAACTCTTGCAAACCTCTGGGTGGGAGCAAACCTCCAAAAGCAGCTGCTGCAGGAGCACAGGACCGAGCACGGCTGGACTGCGGCCGCTCCGCGTTCAGCTCTGCCCGTGCCTGGTCCGACCCGGACTCCCCAGCGAGCAGCCCCAGCTCAGCCGGGAGCCCGGGGGCAGGAACCGGCCCCCTCCTGGCGCTCTCTGCAGTTGGTGGAAGCCTCCAGCCTGCACCCCAGATTTTGCCTTGATGGTGAGAAGAACAACAAGCTCCAAGGAGAACACAAGGTGTCTCAAGACCCCGAGCTCAGCCACAGTGTCCCATGGGCACTTCCAACTCAGGAGCGAGGCCTTCTATCCCCCAAAATACACAGAAAAGGCACAACTTTCCCTGAAAAAAAACCACCCAACTAAACCAGCATCCAAGATAACAATTAACCAGTTTCTCTCGTTCTCCCTCTCTCCCCCCTGACTCTCAGGTATTTATTTCACGAAGCCAGGGTGGCGTGGACAAAGAACAACCCTCCGTCCCTGTTCTCCTTTAGACCTGCGTTCCTCACAGTACTCCCGTGGAAACGCTCCTCGTCTCCTGCCCTGGCTGCTCTTGGACCGTGCCATCGGCACCTGGCCGCTGCCGAGGGGCTCGGGGTGAGTCGCGCCCGGGGACTGAGCTGCAGCCCACTGGAACGAAGCAGCTCAGGAGGGTGGAGATTAGACGTGGTGATAACCGAGCGCTGGGCAGGGGAGTTACAGCCCCTCGTGCAGCCGCCGCTGTAGGATTTCAAGGCTGGGCTTGACAAAGCAGCGAGGGGATTGCCAGGGTCGGTCCTGGCTCAATGCAGAGGTGCGAGCGAGGGGTCCCCTCTGCTCCTTTCACTCCTTGGCTTCCCTTTGTCCCCGGCTGAAGTGACCCAGGGCCAGTCAGGAGCTGGTTCATCCCCAGAGTATCTGTGGGCAGGGAGGGAAGGTTAAAATCCCCTTTTGGTATGTCCCCGCCTGGGGGAAGCGTGGGGGCATTTCCACATAGCACATGCTTCAGAGTGCTTTTAACAGCTCTTAGCTGGGGGAAAATATTCCTCTTTTGAACCACAAACTATTCCTGGCAGCTACTCAGCTAAAAAAGGAGCTATAAAAGTGTCAAACTCATTCAAAGCAGAAGACGTAGGCTCTGTGTCATCATTGCTACAGACTGGAAAGTGCCCGAGAGGGTCACTCTTGTTGACTTGCCTAAGTGACATCTGCAAGGCTTAAACAAAACCCGACCTACAGCCAGCACAAGTGCCCCAAGGCACAGCTCCTGGCTGACTAAACACCTCTTCACATGCCACAGCTCCCCCGCAGGTCTGGGGACAGACCTGGGGCTCAGGGTCTGACCCAAGAGATGTGACCTTCACCCTGGCCCGCACCGGTGGCGGATCCCAGCGCAGACAGGCTGCGCTTTGCCGTGGCTCAGGGAGGCCGGGTTTGGGCTCGGTGGGCTGGTGTGTCGTGTGGGTGGCTGGTGTGGTGTGATCAGGGGAAGCACCTGCAAAAAAGCAGGCGAGGGTTAGCAGAGTCAGAGGGTGATGGGCTGGGACTGGCAACACCACCTCTCTCCTCCAAATGAGACTAGGAAAGGGCTCTGGTGGCAGAGAATCGTATAATAAAATAACTTCTTTTGTTTCTTTCTTTAGAAAACATCTCTCGCACATGGTATAAAAACAGATAGTTTAGAAATAAATTTAAAGCTGGCTGTACCAGTGACTTCAGAGGCGCCCTACACCCAACGTGTGTCTCAGCAGTAAACTCCCTTCTCCAAACAGAGCGTGACAAACCAACGCAAGTGAATCCTCTGCGGGAAATACTGTTAAAAAAACTAAAAAAAAAACCAAAACCCCCGACAAAACCAAACGCACACAGCTGTAAACAAAGCCAGACAGTTTTCTAAAAAAGGGGGAGCTGGGTTCTTCCCCAGAAGAAAGGACCCTGGCCACATGTTTATCTTCTGATAAAATATTGACCTTCGCTGAGTGCTGGAAAATCAGCGGCCAGTGATCCCTCCGCCCGCAGAGCAGGACCCACCGCAGCTGCCACAGCACTTTGACCCATCGCTCCTCTCTAAGGCTGCGTTTCAAGTTAGGTTTGGAAAGATTAATAAATTAATGAAGCCACAGAAGAAAAAAAAAAAAAGGAACAAAACAAACGAACAATCAAAACCACCCGAAAAGTTCAGTTCGTGCTCTCAGTCCAGGAGGAAGCGCTCGCGGACCTTCTCCTCGATGGAGTGCAGCTTGGCAGCTCGCAGAGCGTCCAGCAGCTCCTTGGTGACCTCGTAGTGCCCCTCTTTGAGTTGGGTGAGGAAAGTCCTGAACTTCTCCTGGACGGCCGCCCTGGTCCCCAGCGCCTGCTTCCTCGGCGAGCGCTCCAGGATCTGCTGCAGGCGCTTCAGCTTTCGGATGGGGATGTTCTGATACGCCACGAAGTCGATCATGGCTTGTTCACAGTCGTCGTCTCCTAGAGCTGGCGGGAGAAAAACACCCGGAGGTTAGAGGGCAGGTGACCGTGGGACACCGGGAGGTCACGGCCCCACCGAGCCTCCCCGTGGGACAGCGGCCCAGGGAGGGGGGAAACTCCCCATCCCTGGAAACATTCAAGGCCAGGTTGGACGAGGCTCTGAGCAGCCTGATGTAGGTGACGTCCCTGCCCGTGGGGCTGGATGGCCCTTGAAGGCCCCTTTCCAACCCAAACTGTTCAGTGATCCGACGACGCCGTCCTCGCCCGGGCGGCGCTCTCCAGCCGCGGCTCAGAGCAGGGACCTCTCGCAGCCCGTCCTCCCCCATCGGGGGTTATCTGAGCTCCCCTGGCCACGTACGTCCAACGCCCACCCCGCTCTGCCCGGGCAGAGCACGAGTCCCGGTGGCAGCGTCGGCCTCACGGGGGGCTCGTCCTTTGCCCAAGTCACGGGGGAAGAGGGAGGGCAGCCGGCTCGTGCCGCCGGCAGGTGTGTGGCGGAACAAAGAGAATAAACGTTTTGCAGAGGGAGGTTGGAAGGAAGGAGAAGGAGGAAAGCACCAATCTGGCATCATTAACTGGCCAAAGCCCGTCTCCACCAGCTAACTGCCCCGCGAGACCGGGTCCAGCCCTCACCACAGGCTGGATTTCCCAGCAGCAGCCTCTACGGGCCAGTTAGAAACCAATGTGTAAAAGTTCCTGTAACTTTGAAAAAAAGTAAATATACCTTTTCCATGCTCCTCCCTGCCAGGGAGTGGGGGAAGAGGGGAAACTCCAGAAAAACCTGAAGTAATTGCAGTAAATATTTACACATGTTATTTTTTTCCTGATAGTTTCATTTCCCCACACAAATTTTTTACATCTTGGGACAGGATCAGCTCCAGGCACAGCCCAGACTGGGGCTTTTGGACAGACTTTGTCCTGGCTAAAGCGCCGCTGGAGCGCGTCCAGCCTAAGGAATGAAATCACAAAGAATTTTCAAGAAGTCAAGGCCAAACGATTACTCAATCAAGGAGAGACTAGCCCAGTTTTGTGTCGTCGTAAACTGGGAAAGGTTTCACTGGTTATAGTGGGGCAGGTCAGGCTGCCTTGCCCAGCCTCGGGGTTTAGCTGTATCGCTCGGCCGCGGCTGTTGCAGCAGGAGGAAGGCAGGTCCCCGCGCGCCTCCCGCGCGAAATCGTGACGAACCAGAGTTAAAAATACCCGTCGGCTCCCATCGCTCACGGGCTTCTCTCGCTCTATAAATAGCTGAAGGGCCGGGCTGGCCGCGGATGCCGTTGCCTAGAGAGCGTCAGCGCACGTGCTGCTGACTCCGCTCTCACCTGACCCCCCCAGCGCCCCGGGACCGCGTCCCGCTGACGACGGAGCTTCCCATCCCCTCCCTGGCGAGGGGCCTGAGTCACGCTCTGCGGGGGGAAATGCCCCACGGCGCGGGGCCAGGGCAGGATGGAAAGGCGAGAGCTCCTCTCTGGGGGAAAAGCCTCCTTGCTCTGTGGAGAAGCAGCTTTTCAAGAAGCTCTTCTATCAAGCTGCATTTTTTTTTTTTTTTGTACTGGAACAACCTCCCCAGGGATGCGGAGGAGTCCTCGTCGCTGGAGGTTTTCAGGACGAGGCTGGACCTGGCGCTGGTTAATCTCATCCAGGCTCCTTTTCCCATCAAAGGTTGCACCAGATGAACTTTCAAAGTCCGTGCCAGCCTGGGCTCTTCTATGGCTCCGTGACTGATTTTTCCTTTTGGAAGCTGAAGAGCACAGGCTCGCTGCCAGCCCGGGCAGGCAGGCTGAATCGATCTCCTGTCTCTCTAGGCGGGATGCTCAGGGCAGAGCGGGTGGTTGGAAACAGCTGCCTGCCCCACCTCAGCCGACATCAGGCCCCCGAGAGGCTTTTCAGTCCCTTTCTTATCCCCTAATTTCACCGAATCACCGAATCATCAAGGTTGGAAACGACCCTGAAGCTCACCTAGTCCGACCGTTGACCTAAGTTCTCGGGGTGCGTGTTACAAAGCACCCCCAGGGCCAGCCCATCGCTCTCCCCAGCTCCTTCGCCAAAGAAGGTTGGGCCAGATGGTCCTTGAGGTCCCTCCCGACCTGGTATTTGACGATCCCACAATCTGTGTCCCCTGGCAGCTGCCGCCCAACCTTCAGCCTCTGCCGAGGCTCAGCGCTACGTCTGCACTATCACGGTCACACAGTTGACACCACGTCTCCACTTTTTCACCTAACAGGCCAAAATCCACCCTGTGCTCAGCTCCGATGCACCTTGGACTCTGCCCCGTCCAACCTGCACGAGACAAGGCTGCGGCCGCAATAAAAACTTCCTGGAAAATGGGCTGAAAGCCGGGAGAGGCGAGCGCGGGAGGACGTCAGGAGCTGAGCTGGTGGCTCAGCCCTCACACCGCGCCCGTTTACACGGCCACCAGCCATCGGTTATCGCCGCGAGCAGTCAGCTACAGCCGCCAAAACTGTCCCCGTGTCCCAGCACTCCCAGTTACCCCAGTTCCTGGGGAGAAGCAGCAGGATTTCACTGCCAGCTCTTTGTTCTTGCAGCGCAAGGAGACTGCGTGGGCTCTGGCTGACAGCAGACTGACCCCGGAGGGAGAGGAAGGCAGACAGGCTGTATTTTATCCATAATTGCTATTAATTATGGATCACCCCATACTTTTACAAGCTGTTTCACCTCGTTTTTCGCCTACATAGAAAACGTCACGAGAAAGTTCACTCTTGGTCCCAGCACCCCCCTCCCTGGCCCGCAGAGCCGTGCCTCACCTGGTGCCTGTGTGCTGTTGGTCCCCCCCAGTCTGCAGGAGGTGCAGAGGGTGTCGTGGTACTGGTTGCCCTGCACGTTGGTCACCTTCCCCTGCTGCTCGCAGTCCTGGTGCGGCTGGCACGGCTTGGTGCTGGAGTTGGAGGAGGAGAAGAAGCCACGCGGGCAGGGGCGGCACTGGGTGTTCTCGAAGGGGGTACCTGTGTGCGGGGAGCCAAGGGGGGAGCGTCAGCCCAGGGTGACGAGCTGGCAGGGGAGCAGGGCTGGGAGCTGGGGACGGTGTCGGCAGAGCAAAGCGCCAGACACCATTCGAGCACCAGGGTGATGGTTTGGAAACGATCATCGCCTGCAACACCCCCCCCCCTCCTCCCCAGGACGTGTGTGTCCTCTCGCAGGGCAAACAGCAGCACTGTCCCCCCTCGTCTCCCAAGCCAAAGCGTTTGGCACGTGCTGATAAACCGTCACCAGGCTCCAGACCCAGGAGATCTCCTCTGCTACGGAAAAGGGCCACGTCCCGGGCAGGAGACACAGCGGGGACAAGGGGTGAACTGAGTGATGAACCGGCCCTTTGATTCACAGCAGAGTCAGGAGGCTCCTGGCCAAGTGAAAGTAAAAGTGGCTGAGAAGGTGAAAGCCGCTTGCTCGCTTCTGCAGTTCCCCCCCTGGCTCCGGGCCAGACCCGCCGCTGGATCACAGGGACGGTGCTGCGGGAGCGGGATCGCGCCAGGGTGTCTCCCACATTCCTTGGGGAGAAGAGGGAACGGCCCCGACGGCAGAAAACCTCACGGCCCTTTTCATCGCCTCTTCACACACAGAGTTAAGGACAAGGTTTCCACCTTGCTGCAACCCGCTTCAGGCCGTTGTGGCTCTGCCAGAAATGCAGCTGATGACCCCAACACCTAAACAGTATTTGCAAATGGAAAACCCTAAAAAAACCACCCCCTGTGTCCCACGGATCGAAGCACCCATTCACCCCGGAGCCAGCGAGCTCTCCCCGGGGCCCTGAGCGTCCCGGACCAGCCACAAGAGCTCACAGCCCCCGGGCGCTGCCCACCCACCCTGGTCCTTGCCCTCGGGTCTGGCGGTCTGGGCTGGCATCATTCCCCACACAAGAAGCCATTTGTAAGAAAAAATTGATGATAATAACAAAAAAATCAGCTCGTCCTCAAACGCCCCAGCTTGCTCACATGGCTCCTCAGTGCTCCAGCCAACCCTCCAGCCAGAACTGATGTTTAATTTCAGAGCCCTTCCCCACGCTGCTTGGAGACCTGGTTCACCTCTCGCTGCTTTTTTTAACAGTCACATGGAAAAAAAAAATCGAACGCTAAATGCTTAACCATCAGCATCGGCTGAAAACAACAAGGTATTTCTCCTCTGGCCTGCGAGCCTGGAGCTTTTCTGTGCCGCACACGGAAGGACTTCGAAAGCCTCCACACTTCAAAGCACGACGCAGGATAAGGCTGGTTGTGCCGATGCTGCCCACGCTGTGGTTTCCTGACAGAGCCTGGTCCTCGGTCACTCAGGGGACAGCAAGAGCGAAACCCGCTCGTAGGCAACTTGTATTTTTAGAAAGTTTGCCCACACGGCAATGGGAGAAACTAAGGCATCAGGCAAATTGTGCTGGGGAAGCAACGGAAAAATAACCCCCTTAAAATGTCTTGTGACTTACATCTTACCAGGAGACGGTGTCTCAGCCTCGTGAATCTCCCCCCCCCAGACGTGAAATGAAACGGGGCTGATTTACGGGTTTGGAACCTGTCCATGTGTCCATTTCACGTTTTGAATTCAGCTGCTCCAAATTACTCAGTCAAAAAACCACAAAACCCAGCCCCAGAGCTACACACTCACCAGTCCTACCCTTGCATCATTAGCAGCCCTTTTCAGACCAGATAATTAGCTCCCTGGCTACCCGCCTGCAAGGAAAAGGGAGCTGACAGAGGACCTGGAGCTGCTCAGACTTTTCCACCCGCTGAGAGCCCCGGTGGGATGAGCTGCTGCTCCTGGGACGGGTGAATCACGGCCCAGCTCTGCCTGTTGCGGCACGTGAAGCAGGTAATCAGGGTTGCCACGTCCTATCTGAGCGTGGTGCTGGGGGATTTCAAAGGCTTTTCAAAGCAAAAGCGAGGGAAAAACCCAACAAATCACTCCTTGGAAAAGGAGCTGGGAAGCAGCTTCACGTGCTAGCAAGGACGGCAGCACGCTGGTGAGCACAAGGGGAGGAAGTCAGGCTATGGGCAACCGTCAGCCTCTTGATTTTTAGCTCCATCCTTGGTTTTTAGCTTTAGGAGAGATTTTGGGATGTTCCAGGAGCCCCCCAGCACACCCACCACTGCCACGGCCACCGGATTAGGGCACTTACCCGGTTTCTCTACGCCGGAGCCCGGCGGACACTCGGAGTGCCTGATGCAGAACTCCATCTCGGAGTAGTAGCCCTCCTGGCACTGACAGACGCGGTTGTGGGTGGAATTGCACTGCTGCACCTCCACCTGCTTCTCCCCGCAGATGACGTTACAGTACCGGCACTTCTCCAGGTAGTTCCAGTACTGCGTGTAGTGCAAATCCGGGCAGGGCTGGCACAGCGTCTGCCTGGCCCTGGTGCAGTGTTGTGCCACGAAGGTCCCCGGCGGGCACTGCTGGCACGTGAGCTTCTCGTTAGTCACCGCATCCTTCCATCGGTAAGTGGGTTGGGCGTTGCAGCCGAGCTCAGGCAGGAGGAGGAGGAGGAGGAGGAGGAGGAGAGGGGCCAACATCCACTGCAGCAGAGACAGCGCGAAGAGCCCTCAGCTCGTCCTCTCGCAGAGGCAAACGCGGCTCCCGTGTCACAGGGCGCGTTGCCGCTGTAGACGGGAGAAATTATCCCCCCACCTCACGCCGGCCCCGGCCCCAGGGGTGAAGCCACGGTGGCACCGGGGACCCGCCGCTGCCCCCCACGTGCCTCCCCCTCACCCTCCGCTTGGGGTCCCGGGTGTCAGAGCACCCTCCCCAAACGATGCTTCTCAAACCCATTTTGCGGAGCCTTCACAACCCCGTTTTCCCTCTTTTAGTGCCAGAAGCAGCCGCAGCCCGCTCTCCCCCTCTTTTCACCCCAGTTGGGGTAAGACCTTTGCAGATCAAGAAGCAGAAGGGGAGGTTTTCAAACCAGCAAATCCCCAGCGTGCTCCACAGGAACTAAACTTTTTTGGGGGGAACCCAGACGCTCCGTATAGGACCGGAAAAATCCCAAAGTCGTGTCTATCCTCCCCCCCCCCCCCCCCCCC